CCCTGACCTGTACCACAATAACGGAAAAAACAATAATATTTTCTTCATGCTGATCATGCAACAGTGGCAAATGAACTTACCAAATAGTTCATCAATATCATGATCTGTGACAGAAGATTGTCTTTCTACCTTTTTCCCATGCTTTTTCTTTCCTATATTGATAAATGCATGCGTTTAGTTACAGGCTACCATAATTACTCAGTCTTTAAAATAGGAGAAAAGTGTGAACTTTTCAGATACTGTATTTTTTAAGTCAAAGCTTTTAAAAATTAGAGCATTACTATTGAGTGGTAGCCACAAAATTTAAAGGCAAACTACTCAGTAATTCTATTCTATATAATAAAAGCACCACAAATGTTATATAAACATCTAATTTTTTTGTTGATTACTATATGTATCTGAAAGTTTGACAATTTTTGACCATTGGAAAAATCAAGTCATTACTGTAAAAATATTTAAATTGTATCGATGGGTATCGTCCAAGAAAGCCTAGTCTCATAATTTAGCATAAAATCAAGCAAAATTTGATGGAATATGGTGGAAAGTGAAGTCAAAAATAGACTAGCAACTGCTGAAAAATCATAACGGAGTCAGAGGAATGAATTTGAACTGTTGGCCCATTTGTACTGGTTGATGTTCAAATTTCATTGAAATTACTGGCCAGACTGCATTATCGCTTGGATTATTAGGATGGGATCCTCAGTTTTTGCCATGATTCCATTAAAGCAATAATAACTCTTCCTTTGAGATTCAAAATTCCGCAAGAAATACATTGTAAACAACGCTTGGAAATATATTCTATTGCATTTTCCCACTAAAACGACTGTTATTGTAGTAAAACTAAAATCTGTGCTTGTCACTTGGGCTTTCGATGCCTTTCTTCACGGTCAACAAGTGCATCCATTGCCAATGACGTTTAGGTGTCACGCGGATTCTCGCGTTCATTCGAGACCAAAATAACATTGGCGGGAAACCCTCAGACGTAAGTTGCGAGTTTTTGTACAGTGAGTCGGATAACGAAAAGCCCAGAATTGCACACATTGTAGATATAAATGCATTTTGAGCAATAAGACGAATATATCTTATGAATCTTATAATATTGTTATATAGCGTTGTTGTTGTCTGCTTTTCCCGCGGTTTTAAGTAGGTCACCAGAAACTATCGCTCGATATCACGTGACTGCCATGTCAGAGAGAGGGTTCCGTCAGTTAAAATCTCTTAAGAGATTTTAACAAAAAACCGTACGTTTAGGAAAAAAACCCTGGATTAACTTTAAATGCAGAAATGGGGTCGTTGACCATTGGTAAGTACGGGAAAATTGCCGTTTTTTCCAGGAAAATCGTATTTTTGGCCAAAACGAAGAGTTATTATGACTTTAATGAACATACTGCAGCAAACATTCATTAATTCATTCATCAAACTCAATGAAATTTGATCAAACGTTTGAGTGGAAAATTTAAGAATCAAATTTTGAGGTTTAAAAAATTTAAAGACAAAATCTCTTGCTAGATATATAACAAGAGTTGCACATGGTTAAATTTAAGTGACAGAAATCATAATTTGTTTCCAGAGAGTATAATGCAACATTTTAAACCAAAACTCTGTGGTCATCTAGGCCATCTTGGACAATAAAACTGTTGTTACAATAAACTGTTAAATGTAAATGATTAAATGTAGCCTCCACCCTTTACCTCACTCTCTCTGTCACTCTCTCTGTCTAACAAGGGGAATAGGCACCACCACCACCCATGCAAGTCACTGTCGAAACTATGGGCCTTTTCACAAGTGGTATGCTTCAGGCAAACAGTCTTTACCAGTACATTTTGAGTTATTGAACACTTCCTAAAACCTGGCTATAATACATGTATAAGGGTCATATAAACACTAACAGAGTCCTTGCAATGATCAATTGATCAACTTTTGCCCATAAAGTTAAACCCCCTGTAGTGTTATTGCACATAAGGACTGGTATAGATGGTATTGCTGAAATATACCACTTGCGGTAAAGAATAGATTTCAGCAAGCATATAATAAATACATATACCAGTATACACATACTCAGTACTATGTATACCGGTATTCCTGTTTATACATTCTACAAATTTGCTTGATTGCAATGAATTCTGGCCTAAAGAACCAAGCTATCTGACAATCCAACAACGGTCACATGAATGAAAGTTTAAATTAACTTGACTGGGACTCTTTTTAGCCTGTGATGAGTCATGTTTCACTTCTAAACACAATGGCAGTCTTCAATCACAAGACCGAAGTCAGTGTCTAAAATAATAATCTGCATTTCGTTAAAGTAAATGAAACAATAAATATGCTCACTGCCCCAACTGTAAAATTGTATTTCAGGGGTTAGAGAAGGGACTAGACACTATGCAGCTAATGTATTGGATAAATAAATAGCAAAAGCAATGAAGACAATAATGTTTTAAGAACACATTCAATCAACACAAATTGCAGTGATTTTTACATATCGTGCAACTCACCTTTCGCTTCAAAAATGTGTTTCAACTTCATAACCCTAGACATCTCGACAGTGGTAATGATATGTCATTCAATAACAGATTAAATGTAAAACATCGCGTAATGTCAATATATCAGATAAGCGAAGCAAGCCTCCTCACATCAGGAAGTTGATTAACTTTCTGCGCATTCACTACGAGCACTTCCGTGTTTTTCAACCTTGACCTTGTTAAGACGAAGATGGCCTATATTTTAACATAGGACAAGGCATACCAGCTAAAGGCACCCTGGTGGGTCAAATTTTAGTTCGCCGTTCGCTTTTATACAAACATAGTAATGGCACTTATTGAAATTAAAGATAATATCAATTGAAGAGTATTAATTGAGGCCGTCTTAGCTATTGCCTTGAGATCTAACGTGTCCAACAAAATAAAATATGTATAACAATACTATACTAAACAAATAAATAAATAGATAAATAAAATAAAAATGAAAAAAGATACATCAATGAATAAATATTATACGAAATTTAAGTAAATAAAAAAGAAGTATAAGAAAACATGATTCAGACAATGAACTTTCAAATGTCAGGTGGGGAGAAACCATTAAATTGGAAGGATGTTAGGTGGAGCAAGTCAATTTCATATAAGGGGTGCCTGGTGGGGCGATTCCTTTCCATAGGAGGGGTGCCAGGTGGGGCGATTCCTTTCCATTGGAGGGGTGTCAGGTGGGGCGATTCCATTCCATTAAAGGGATGTCATGTGGGGTGAGTTCATTCCATTGGAGGGGTGGCAGGTGAGGCGATTCCATTCCATTGGAGGGGTGGCAGGTGAGGCGATTCCATTCCATTGGAGGGGTGACAGGTGGGGCGAATCCATTCCATTGGAGGG